ATAATATATATATAAATATATATATATATATATATAATATATATCTATAAGAATGTCTCTGAGTGTGCAGTCTGTCGGGTCGTCGATTGCAACAATAAATTTTTAACCGTTGAAAATTTTAAATAGAGAGCAAAGGCGAAATAATTAAATCAAATAAAAACAAATAAATAAATAAATAAATAAATTAATTAATTAATTAATTAATTAATTAATTAATTAATTACTAGTTTAATCTCTATTGATTTAGATAAAGAAATGTGTATATACAGATGCATCTTCTTAACGTTATTGACGCTGGTTGCTGCGCTGCTGCTTCTGTTGATTTGCAGTGTACATTTCAATAAAAATAAAAATTAAATTAAATTAATTAATTATATTAAATTATTGTTTGAGAAAATATACTTAAAAAATTATATATTTAGCTAGAGACGCGCATAGCAGCAGCAGCAACAGCAGCAGCAGCAGTATCGATAAGCACAATGCAATAGAAGTATATATATGAAGGTGATGAGAATAGAAGAAGAAAGAGTTGAAGAGTTTAAAAATAAATTAAAAGAATATTTTAATTATTATTTTAATTAAAATATAAAACATTCAGGTGTCTATACACCTCTAAATTTTCTTGTAAAGTTGTTGTTGTTGTTGTTAAGGCCGCACCTGCGTTTCTTCGTTGCCTTCTCACGAACAAATATCTATTGTTTATTTTCTCTTTTTCTTTTTTTCTTCGGAATAAACTCTTATATCTTTATTAAATTATTAATTTGATTACTTTCGAGGCTTTTAACAGACCTATTAAGCCCTTGGTTTCACCTTCTTTTCGTCAAATTGCTCTGCACCGAACGGATAATAATAAATGTTTTAATTTCTCTGTCTTTGTCTTCTTCTTTTACTTTCTTATATATTAATGTTCTTTTATTGTTATTTTCATACATTTCATTGTTACATTTTTAATCTTCTTTGTTTTAAGCTCGTTGACTTCAAGTTTCTCTTTGTTTTGCTGCAACTAGCAGCAGCAGCAGCAGCAGCAGATAATATATATATAATATAAATATATAAATATATATGTAGATATATATATATAGATAGATAGATAGGATCTGATGTTATTTCTTTGCTGTTTACGTTTGTTTGCTTTTTTAAGTAGTTTGTTTAAATTAATTAAATATAATTTTTCGCCGAGATGTTTGCTTTAGATTAATATCAATACACAACAAGAGGAGGCGTAAAGACAGGAACTATATTTATTTATTTATTTATTTATTTTGTTTATTTCATTGTTAATTTACTCTAATTAATTAATCAGTGCTACAGATGGAGGGGCTTCTTCTTATGTTTTATTTTATATTCTTCTTATAAGTCAGCTACATACATATATATAGATATACATATATAGATATTAGATATATATGTATATATATATATATATATATTAGTTTAAGTCTATGCATTTCTTTTTATGTTAATCTGTTTGCATATCTTTAAATAATTATTGAGGGGGTCCTTGTGTAGATACACCGCAGCAGCATTTCTTTTTAATTTACTTTATTATTTTCTTCTATCATGCAAGCCGAAGCTGTTGATGGCTCCAACGTGCTGCAGCCTGAAGAAGCAGCAGATAAACAATTTATGTATGAGAGCTTCGCTCCTCGCAAGAAGCTGCTGCTGCCGTCGGGACGCAGCAGCAGCAGCAGCAGCAGCAGCAGCAGAAGCAACAGGAGTAACAGCAGCAGATTCTTTCGTGGTATTGCTCTGAGTGTTATTGGGGCTGTCTTAACTCTCCTCCTAGCAACGCATTTATGCTGGATTAAGAGCAGCAGCAGCAGCAGCAGAAGGAGAAGAAGATTAGCAGCAAGAAGCTCTCATACATCAGGAGGGTTTCACGATGCAGCAGCAGCAGCAGCAACAGGAAGAAGGGCTTACGACATTTGTGCTATTGCAACCCGTATTCGAGGAGTAGCAGCAGCAGCAGAAGATGAAACTAGTACAGCACAGCAGCTGCAGCAGCAGCAGCAGCAGCAGCTGCTGCTGCAGCAGCAGCTGCACAACCCGGGTCCCTATACACCTGAAAATAGTTGGCTAGACAACCCCTTCCCCCTCCTAGACTTTGATATTCTTGCGGACGAATCTGTAGATCTTGCTGCTTTGCAAGAATCAGCAGGTGAAGGCTGGCCGCTGCTGCAGCAGCAGCAAGAGCAGCAAGGCATTGCTGCACCTGCTGCTGCACCGGCTGCTGCTGCACCGGCTGCTGCACCGGCTGCTGCACCGGCTGCTGCTGCAGCACCTGCTGCTTGTAATCAGTCTGCTGCTTCTGCTGCGCTCTGGCAGCCTACAGATACACTCGAAGCTTTTGTTATTCGCGGAGACGGTGCTACTACTGCAGCAGCAGCAGCACCGTCTGTTGCTGCAACTGCAGCAGCACCTGCTGCTGCAGCAGATGGTGCTGTTGCAGCAGCTGTTGCTCCTCCAGCAGATGACTCTATTTGGGTCCAGCAACGCGTAGTAGCACCTGCTGCTGCTGCGACCTTTGTTGCTGCTGCTGCACCTGCTGCTGCTGATGCTGCTGCTGTGCCTTCTGTCGGTCTGACGCCTGGCAGCTGGAGGCAACTTCCAGCAGCAACAGCAGCAGCAGGTCCTGCTGCTTCTGCTGTTGCTGCACCTGCTGCTGTTCTTGCGTTAGACGGCTCGAGCCCGGCATCGGCAACAGGAACAGAAGCTGCTGCTGCTGCTGCTGCACCTGCTGCTGTTCTGTCTCTTGAAGGTTTTGTTCAGCCAGCACCGACAGAAGCAGCAAAACCTGCTGCTGCTGCTGCTGCTGCTGCTGCACCTGGTGTTGGTCGTATGGTTTGGGGTTGGAGTCACCCTTCAGCAGCAGCTGCTGCTGCTGCTCCTGTTGCTGCTACTCCTGCTGCAGCAGCTGCTACTACTACTTTGCCACTTGGGGGCTTCAATCCAGCAGCAGCAGCAGCAGCTCAAGTTGCTGCAGCACCTGCTGCTGTTCTGTCGCTTGAAGAGTGGGGTCAGCTGACTGCAGCAGCAGCGCCAAATGCTGCTGCTGCTACTCCTGTGGCTGCAGCA